GATATACGGACCACGGTGGGTATCGTGGTCTAGCTGGCCTCGATCGTGGTTCGTGCACATTAGCCCGAACTATCGTGGTCCTCCGTGCTCGTGGTATTCAGTGGTGAGCATCACGAATCGAAACGACCAATGGGGTTGGATTGCTCACTTAAAGGATCGAAACTGAGAAAATGAGCTCATGCGAGCTGGTTTTTTTTCTTTTTTTTTTGCTGGGGAAGAAGACACAGTTTCCAAGTCTTGGCAACTTTGATCCCTGAGATGCAGTTCATTGACAGAAAGCACCCCTAACCAGAAATCCTTTAACATATATAATCTTTAAAATGACAAATTACATTTGGATTTATATTTCCTAATTAATTAAGTAATTTGATTTATTTAAATTATTATTATTATTATTATTAAATCACTTATTTGTATAATTAGTATTTAAAAAAATTATATGTTTTTTAATGTATTTTTGAATTAAATTTAATTAAAAAAATAAGATAGAATGATGTGTTTAATGGTATGTATCTCATGATTAATGGCAGGGAATGTGATGATGATATAACACTCACCACTATAATGATTAGTGGTGGATATAAGGCTATCCAGTATGGGGGAGTATCGACACGTCTTGGGCTGACGTGGCTGAGCTCCCCACACGTGAACACCGCCCCCAACTCCGGTGGGGTGCGTGTGATGTGGCTCCGGAGACGGGACGAGACGACGAATGAGATGCTTTCTTTTGTAACGGGTGGATTTTGGTGGGGTAACGGCTCTTTTGACCGTTAACAAATAAATTTTTTTTTTAAAATTTAAACACAATCAACTTCACCTATAAATTACCTACTATTCTATTTATAATTTACACTTCAAAAAACACTCTCTACATTTTATTACAATCTACAAAAAACACTCATCTTTCTCATATTTTTTTTCTCTCTACATGGATTCAAATCAAAACACTCCAAATGCAAATGTTAGCTACATGTAATTGTTAACCTCCCTAATCCAACAACAACCTCTATTCACCACTTTATGCCCCCCAAACTTCTACCAACAACAACCACAACAATTCAATCAACCCCAATTCCAAGCCTTTCAACAACAACCTTCTCAACAATTTCAACAACCTTCTCAACAATTTCAACAACCTTCTTTTATACCTCAACAATTTCAACAATCTTAAGTCTCCTTATCTCAATCTCAACCTATAAATCTCGACAATGACGACGACGACGAACGGGTCCAAGAAACACAACAACCAACTCGTCGAAGGCAAAAAAAAAAAAAACAAAAGATCCAAAAAAAAGAACTACCGCGTGGAACGAAGATGAGGAGGAAACTTTAGCGAAAACTTGGATTTTCATATCGCAAGACGGGGATGTCGGAAACTCGTAAACGAGTCAAAGTTTTTGGTGTCGTATTTTAGATCACTTCCACGCGTTATTAGGAAAGAAAACGGAGCGGACGTACGACTCGATCAACGCAAAATGGCGTGATTTACGAGCGGCTTGCACCAAATTCAATGGCATATTTGACAAGCTTAAAAATATGCATAGAAGTGGTAGCAACGATTTCAACATTTTAGCAACTGCGGCCTAAGAATACAAAATTACCACCAATGGTAAACCGTTCAGCCACCAAAAAGCGTGGGAAGTTTGTCGTAACGGTCCAAAATGGGTTCTATATCCGGAAATGGCGCATTCGGGATCTACCACCGGTTCCAACACAAGGGAAAGAACGTCCGGGTCAGACGTGGGTTTTGGACTCGACCTCAATGATGACTTCGACGCCACCGAGGGGGAGGGCCCACCGGCCGACCACCGGGAAGGGACAAAGCGAGAAAGGGAGTGTCTTCAAGCGGAAAAGCACTGGCAACTAGCGAAGACGGGCTTACGACATCCATAGATAAAGCTCTAGTTTTTCTAGAAAAAAAAATACGAATCAACGGAAGAAGCTTGTTGCCAAAAATAGCTCTTACCGATCTTCAAATCATAAACACAAAGCCCCAATCGGATATCAACCCGGAAAATCTTGCGACGTTTCTTAAAATTCAACGACAAGTCCGGGACAGATATGTAATTTAGGTTCTAATATTTATGGTTTTAAGTAATTTAGGATTTTAATTTTTTATGTTTTTTTAAGAATTTTAGGATTTTAATTTGTGTTTTTTATATTAATGTAATGTGTTTTTAATTTTAATGTAATGTGTGTTTTTTATTTAAATTATGGTTTTTATTATGGGAGAATTTCATATATGCCCTTCTTAAACATCAAAATATCATATTTACCCAAATTAATTTCTAAATATCATATTTACCCTTTATAAAATTTCTAAATATCATATTTACCATTCATAAAATTTCAAAATATCATATATGTCCTTTTTAAACATCAAAATATCATATATGCCCATCTTAAATATCAAAATATCATATATGTCATTGTTAAACATCAAAATGTCAATGGTAATATCTAAATATCCTCCATCTACAACATGATAATAATCAACAACAAAAACTAAACAATCAAATTATACATTTCATAGAGGGTTGAAGATGAATCTTTTTGTTTTTCAAGAGGGTGACATTCCAACAATTTACAAGTTCACATTCCATTATCATAGACGTAAGGATAATATGGTTAAAAATTTTAATTATTATAATAATTCTAATGTATAAAAAATGATTATAAAATATAAAAAACATTATAAAAAAGGATTTGGGCAAATATGATAAAAAAGGTATATGAAGAGTAAATATGATATTGAGAAATTAAGCTGGACAAATATGATATTTTTAGGTTTAAGAAGGGTATATATAAAATTCTTCCTTTTATTATTGTGTGTTTTTTATTTAAATTATGGTTTGTATTTTGTTTTTTATTTAATATAATGTTAAGAAAATAAAAAAATAAAAAAAGGAATTTGTGGAGTGGCAACCATTTCCAATGTTTAGTGGGTTGGTGGTGGGTTGGTGGTGAAGCTGATGTGGCGCACATGTGACAACACTTTTTCGGTAGGTTGGGTGTGACCACTCCCCAAAGCCTAACATACCTAAATATAAGACGAGACGGTATGGGTCCAATTTTGCTCGTTATGGGTGACGTGGACACCCCCTAACAGCGTGGTAACGGGGGAACACCGCTCCCCTTCTCGTTGCTTCTCGTTATGGCATCACTCGTGCTCGTTACGACCGATTGAAACGCGGTGAAATATCAACGTTGGGCTAGTGGATCGTTGCAAACGGTCAAAACGTAAATAAAAAAAACTTTTACTTTTTTATCTTTATAAATACTAATTTTAACCCATTTTTTAAACCTTTCTCTCTATATCTTATACACATACTTTCTTTAAGTTTTTAAAAAATGGAGCAAAACCCAAACACCTCCCTCCATCATCAAATCCAAACACACAACCAAACACAAACTCGCCTCTCGGATTTGCGGGTTATGAAAATTATTTCAACTTTTTATCGTCTCAAGGATCACCACAAATCCCATACCAAGGCGCCGCTTTCAATCCCGCTTCACCACCACTGCAATTTCCCAACTCACCTTACCTTCAAGAAAATCTATTTGGTCAAAACCCAAATTTACAACAAAATCTTTTCCCTACTTTTGCTTCGATGCAACAAACAACCAACCAACCACCACCTACAACACAACCATCGGTTGAAGTGGAAGCGGGAGGTAGTAGGAGAGGGAAAGGGATAGGAAATTGAAAGGGAAATCGATAGCGGTTGAAACAGAAAATGCAGATGTTCCACAATGGTGGACACCGGAGGAGGAATATGCTTTAACGGCGGCTTGGTGTACTACTTCAAAAGACGAACTCCGCGGAAATGGAATGAAGAAAGGAGCTTATTGGGGGGCGGTGCGTGACAAGTGTGACAACTGGAAAATTTTAGAGCAAACAAGGTCTAAACTTTAACCATGTACGGGTAACTTCATAACGTAACATTTATGCAACGAGACTATGAATGCCAAGATGCATGTTTATATAAGTTATTATGAATATACCTTGAAAACCATTCTTATATAAGTTATATATACTTATATATTGAAAACCATGATTATATAAGTTATTACAAGTCAACACAAGTCAAAATAACAAGTCTAAAAGCATGAAATTGTATATTACTTTAAGGATTTCGGTTTTGGAAATCTTGGAAACACTTTAGGACCGAAATCCCTTTTCTTGGATAAAGCCATGACCGAAATCATCACCATATGAATAAGTTTAAGGGATTTCGGTCATGCTTGGCCGAAATCACCTTCTTTTGGCCGAAATCCCCTTCTTTTGACCAAAACCACTCCATGACTTCTTTTGACCAAAACCACTCCATGAAATCATGCTTGGCCAAAATCTAACCCCTTTATGGCCCAAAACACCTTAAATATCTAGATATTTTACCTTGATTAAGTTCCCAAAGTGATATGTTACACTTACCAACGTAAGTGTCACTTCTCTTACACTCTATCCCTTATATCCCATATATAATACACACATGTGAACCATTTCTCATTCACAGTTAGTAAACTATCAAACCTTCACAATTCTCTCTCAAATATCAACCTTTCATTTCCTTATCAAATTTCAAAGATTAAACTCCCCTGGAGCTTCATTCTTCAAGTTAAATTCCTTAGAATCATTGATACGACATCCTCCGCGTTTTCTAAACTCGAAGATTACCGTTTCTATCCCGTTATCTGACCGTAATCACACTCGAGGTAGTTCAAACCCCTACATTTTTTCAAGACTTTTTCTATGTTTTTAGGGGGGAATACAAGTAACACACAATAATATTTTCGTTATAACGCAAACATTTTAAATACGTTGCTATACTATTTTACGAAAAGCGTTAAATGCACGAAACGGTTTTACTATCAATCGCGTATGATTTCACGAACAACATTTTGATAAACATTATATATATATATATATATATATATATATTATATATATATTATATATATATATATATATATATATATATTTCAAATACAAAATGTTCATTTCATCGAAGTTTTACAAATATACTTTACGAAACTTAACCCCATTTGTAACCCGTTGAGCAAAGGGTAAAATTATATAAAGTGCATATATAATTGTTTTACGTCATTTTCATTATTATCCTGGAAAGAGGGGATAATTACATATACAAACGTTTTCATTACAAAAACACGTACACTCGTTGAATAAATTTGTGAGACATTGTCTTCATCGTACCTAACTGAGGTATTCGCGTAAGTCCTGTATTTATAACCGGAATCTCCGATACGAGAGCATGATACTTGTGTATAGATCTATACGGGACTGATGATCTCACACCCTGACTACTAGCTATAGTCAGACTGACATGTTATGGGTGACAAATGTCATAAATAACTCGGCGCCTGAAGAACGACGAGGCAGACACTGCATTTTAAAAGCACAGTTATAAAAACTCACATAGTGAAACGACGATACGTTTATTTTACACGAAAACACACTTCTTCAAACGGTTTTATATACGAATGAAACTACATATTACTACTTTAATGTATGGAAAACACTGGTACATTTCAGTTTTGGAACTTTTACAACTTACATCTCATTCTTTAGAAAATATTGGATATTCTGGAACAAACATTATCATTTTACAAGTGAACGGCTTACATTTCATTCTTTAGAAAATATTGGATTTTCTGGAACAAACATTATCATTTTACAAGTGAACGGCTTACATTTCATTCATTAGAAAATATCGGATTTTCTGGAAACAAACACGATATCTTTTCACGGAAAGGCTTACTATTTTTCATAACAAACTCGTATGAACTCACCAACATAATTGTTGGCAATTTTTCAAACAATTTGTATTCTCTGGAAATCAGTAGAACAGGTAAACACCAACTTTTGAGGATGGGGCGCTAATGCGTCAAACAAGTCTTTTGTCATCATATTGTAATTGACTTTTGAAACATGTAACACTACAATGATGTAACTTTTTCAATTATATATATGATGGTTATGTTTGCTTTCTTTACTATTACACATTTGTTATGATACAATACATGAAAGTCATCCACCCTCAGACGTTTCCGTCATCCTGGTTTGGGGGTGTGACAACAAGATTCACGCTATTTTGAAGAAAAATTTGTATCACAACAATGACATGTTGAGTAGCAAATGGAGTCAAATAACTAAGCGGTGTAGCAAATTCAATGGTATTTACAACCGGCTTGAGGCGCAACAGCAAAGCGGAACCAACGACTTCGATTTGTTCAAATCTGCAAAAGAACAATATCGGGTCGAAATGGGACATGTTTTCGAGTTTGAAAAATCATGGGAGTTGTTGCGAGCGGATCCAAAGTGGAATAAAACGCCTACATCGTCGGAGGTTCAATCCAAAAGGTCTCGCAATTCGAGCTCGGTCCACGTGTCGTACGCACGGTCTCACATCGACCTAAACGCCGACACCGATGAGATCCCAGATGATTCGAGCTCGGTCCACGTGTCGTACGCACGGTCTCACATCGACCTAAACATTAGGTTTTAAGCTTTTAAAATTATTAAAAATAGTCTTTTTAGACTAAAACAAAGCAGCTTTTTAGCAAAAAAATCGAATTTTAAGCCTATAAACCAGGGGAACCGGGGGAACGGGGCGGGACCGGGGGCGATGGAGTAACCGGGGGCTATGTAAACGAGGGATCTAGGGGCAGGACAGGGGGCGGGGGCAACAACTGATTTCGGGGGCGGGGACAGCTATTTCCGCTCCTGTTTGGTCCCGTTGACATCTCTAAATGAGAGCGAAATTCGACGAGCACAATTTATTAATAAAAGAAAAAAATGACTTGAAACGTCGTCATTTGGAGTTCCTAGAAAGACAAGCATGAGAGAAGCAGAAGCAAAAAGATAAAGAGCTAATGACACAACAATTGTCAATTCTTCGGACTATCGATGAGGGTTTGGCACCTCAAGATCTAGCAGTGCTACAAGCAATGAATGATCAAATTAGGAAGAAGTATTTGGGTTAATTAGGATTTTAGGAGTAATTTGAATGGTGTTTTAGGAGTATTGTTGAATTAGTAGTATTGTTGTGTGTTTTAGGAGTAATTTGAATGGTATTGTAGTTATGATTTTAGATTTAAAATTATGTTTTTTTAATTGTAATCGTAATTTTAGATTTTAAATATTATGTCTTTTTTTTTGTTTTTAAAATTGTATGTTTTATAAAAATATATTCATTTTAAAGATTAAAAAAACAAATGGTATTGTATTTTTTTTTGTTTTTAAAATTGTATGTTTTATAATACCATTTGATGTAACACAGCTTAGTTGCTGACACCCCCGTGCTCTAAACAAACTAAAAAAATCATATTACCCTTCTACTTGTTGTAGGTAGTCAATACATGGTGTAGGCAGACCATGTGCACAGCCTAGATGAGGTACAGACACGTATGTTTGACTAGTGTGTGGTGTGGTGTAACTGTAATCTACAACAAACTTTGTTATCAATTTCCAAGTCCAAAAAAATTATATTATAATTGTACTTGTATTTTCAATATTAATAATTGGAATAAAAAAAATTCTTGAAGCTATCGATCAAGCACAAGTGCACAACATAATAAATTACTACAACCTCAATAAAAGATATAAAAATGTTTCTGGTATGCATAAAAACAAAATCCGACACAGATCATGAGCTGACCTCAAATTAAAACCGTTTATCTAATATAAAACGTAAAACATGAGTAGAGAAACAATGGCGGATCCTAGGAACATGGGTGCTTCATACCTGAACCCATGTGAAGGGGATGTAGAGGTTGACGACGTCGTTCCTCCTGCTGTTGGAGAAGTGGTGGGTGTAGTAGTTACATTACTGAAGATTGCAGCGTCAGGTGAATTTGGTGGTAACTTTAACAGCTCTGCATGCGAGATCAATGAAAACAAAAGTTATTTAAAAACTAGTTTAATTATTATCATACTGTAACAAATTATAATAATAATAATAAAAAACGAAACATAAAAACAATAGCCAAAATTTAAAAAATTTGGACACTATAAAGACATTTTTTTCCACATTGGGTTCATTTTTACCATAAATTTCTTTTTAAAATATGTTTCAATCTAAGACTTTGTAGTTCAAAAAAAAGCCGCACTACTGATTTTTTTTTTGTGGTTTCACAATCCATAATTTTAACTTTTTTTTTCGAAACAACATTGTATTAGGCATTTCGTAGTGTTTTCACTATTTCAGAGTTTGCCCTGCAAAATTGATGATTATTTAAGATATTTCTTAAATATTTGGCTAGTTTTTATGGAAAAAGTTAAAAAGATTTTTCTATTTTTGAAAGGTGTAAGAATAAATTGGGTATATATAGCTATATATAGCCTAGAGTCCTAATAAATTCAATTAAGATCTACAACCACTACCAACCTTCAGACTTCGTCAATTGCTCACTAGTCATACTTTCGGTACATATATGCAACTCATATCATGTTCATGTATATCCACATTAAATCTCATAAACGTTCACTTGTCGGTTTCGTTGAGTTTTGTTTTACCTTTTTTTTTTAAATGGAGCATAAAAATTTATAACTGGACACTTAAATTTTATATTTCTTTCTAATTTTTACCATGCACGGAGGAGTATAACAACCAAAAAATATACAGATTAAAGAAGGTCCGTGCATGCACACCCATATAGATCACAGAATTTGGGAAAATTTGGTATCGTTGTGATATATATGGTGCAGTGAGTGATTGATAATAAAATTAACAAGATTCAAACTTGATCCATCGAAAATTATTCCACTAACGATATCGGATCAGATCAGTCTCAAAAGAATGAAATTAATTTGGAAAACTGAAAATAATAATAATTACCTTGTTCTTTTACATTATCGAGGTACTTGATCGGTTTAGCGCTTCGACTATGTAAAGTTATATTCAAAATCAATATCGTCACTCTACGTTTTTGGTGTAATTTGTGCATTCATGTGTGTGTTAAGAGTGAAGTTGTAGAAAACTGGAACATTCTGTTCGACAGTTTCAAAATTTTGAGTTGAATCAATCGGTGTGTAACCATATAATTAGATACTGTTTCGTTGTTCATAGATTATCTTGTAGATCAATAAAATAAAATGTTGAGATCAAAATCTAAAGGTAAAAGTAGTAGAGAAGAAGAACAGATAAATTACTTGGACAATCGCTGATACTTGCACCAGCAATTTTACAAGCAGAAGGCAGCTGAAGAAGACGAGCCTCTTGAATATTCATGGACTTAAGCGCCGGATTGGTTCCGTTATGGATCTGCTGTATCAGAAAACACAAACACGCCGGATTACTCTCTTTCATCTCCGTCACCGAATCACAACACTTCTTCTGCGGCGTCGACTCTTTCCCTGACGCAAACGCAACACATGTCATCACCTCCGGTAGCTTCGAAGCACACTGGTCGGCTAACGACTGCGCCGAACCACCGATTCCGCTCCCGCATATCACGATACAAACCACCGTAAACACGCTCAAACAGTAATTTCTCATCGCCATTGTAAAAAGTACTGATAGTAGCTTTGTGTTTTTTTGAGGATTTATAGTGGAAATGGAGACAGGATTAGGATTGAGGTTGGGGTTGGGGTTGGTGATTAATGAGGGGCAGTTGGGTGTGAGGTGTGAACTATGGAGTTAATGTCTGCGAGGAAAAGTATGGTGATGGCAGATGCAGGGAGGCGCACTTGTCTGGTTGCGTTTAATGAGTTTCGGTTCATGGAATTAGGGATAACGGTTCACTACTCGATGGCAATCGTAACGGAAATGGTCACAATCACAATTTTATAATTCAATTTCAAACACACCGACATCAACACCTTGCACAGTCGGCAAATTCCCCCTCCTTTCTCTTGCACACCGGCGATGAAGCCAACCCTCCTACCTATACTCCGTGTCTTTTTATAATTTCATTTTTCTTAGAACGATAAATCTACGCTACTCCTAAACTACTATTCACATCACATATGTCTCCAATGAGACTTGAACCCTCAATCTCTAAGAGGGAAGACAACACTGGTACCGCTGGGCTAGAAGCCCTTTGGTTTTATAATTTCATTACATTTACTTTTTGTTATATATTTCTATGTTTTATAATTTCATTACATTTACTTTTTGTTATATACTACCTCCTCCCACCGTAACACCATCCTCTACGCCCAACGTTGAGCCTCTGATGCAAAACGGGGAATTGTCAGGCTACGCTCAGTATAGCCAAAGATTACGCGTAACATAACTCTTAATACTCAAGGACTAACCATCTAATTCTCAGATTTGGATCTAATGAACGTCCTAAGGGGTAAAGTCTCTGACTTCAAACTTTTACATGGCTAAAAAGAGCTCAAGACTAAACCTTAACTCCATAAAACACTCTAATGCTCAATAACTCATGCATGGATGTATGAGAGTGACCAAGCTCCCATTTTTATGACTCTACAAGCTCATAAACGATTGGAAATGATGTTCATAAGGTCTGGAGTAGTTCATAATTATTAAGACCAAAGTTATGGGACAAAAGCATAAAAACTCATGGGCTACTAGATCTATCATAAAGGAACGTCAAGTTGTAAGCTTTATACCTTCTAGAGGTGGATGATGAAGTGTAAAGTATGGATCTACAAAGCTTGGAGGTTACAAAAGTTTCTTCAATGGACTCCTTCTTCCTTAATGCACACAAAAACACACTAAACCTCCAAAATTCTCACAAGATGGCTAGGGTTTCGAGGTTATTGAATATGAGGGTGGAGGGTGAGCATGGGGAGGCCCTTAAGGAGTTAGAGCTTTAAATAGGGCTCACAACCCCTCAATTAGGATTTAGATGTTGCGCTCCTACGCCCAACGTAGATATCTTTATGCCCAGCGTAGAGCATTTAAAACCCTCGCATCAAATCTTTTACCTATGCCCAACGTAGGAGGCTATCATACGCCCATCGTAGGGCACCCAAATTGTATAAATAGAAAAATTAAATATTAGAAATCATACATGAGGATACGGGTATTATAAGTCCCCCCCACTTGAATCTCGTCCTCGAAGTCCGCTGTTGCAAAAAGCTCTGGGTAATGCTCTTTCATCTCCTCCTCGGGCTCCTATGTCCACTCTGAACCCTTCCGGTGCTGCCATTGCACATTAACCAAACTCACCACCTTCTTGTGCAAGGTCTTCGTCTTCCTATCAAGGATCATGATCGGTCTCTCTACATACTTTAGGCATTCGTCAACCTGATTATCGTCCAAGGGAACCACTACGGAATCATTAGTCAGACACTTCCGCAACTAAGAAACATGGAACGTGTTGTGGATCTGGCTGAGCTCGTGTGACATCCCGATCCCCGAGGTACTTAATTTCTTGAATTTCTAACTTTCGAAAGAGGGTCACGACGTGAGATATGGTGGTCACGTCGTGAGTGATCGTTGACCAGTTGACCTGCATCTTTAGAGTCTCATGACATGAGGCATGAGGTCTCATGACGTGAGCACGACCTGATGACCCAAAACCCTAATGTTTGAGTATTTAATGGATTGAGAGGTTAGGGTTTCCCATCCTCAACCTCTCTCACCCTCTAGCCTTCTAAAAACCCTAATTAAGACCTTCTTTGAGATCCTTGGACATTCTTGGTTATTAGCTTGCTTAAAGGGGGAGAAAAGAAGAGAAAGAAGTATCATTGTGGTGGAGTTGCAAGGAAGCATCATTATCATCAACTATTTTTCCTACTGGACCCTTGTAAGTGCCCAGACTCAAACTTTATTTTCATTTCATGGCTAGATCTAGGCTTTTGGTCCCATTTCCTTAGGTTCTAGCTAGTCGGGGTGAACAAGATCCATAAAGTTAGCGACTTTATGGATTCAAATGGTCTTTTGAGTATCATATGATCCAGATCTGGAAGTTGGTGAAGTATTAGAATCATGCATGAGAACTTGAGGCAATATTTCTACTTTTGACCTAGAATGGTGTGGGGACATGCAAGATGCATGCATGTCCATAAAGCATACATTTTTATGGACCTTTAGCCCCCCCCCCCCACCAAGCTTTTGTAAGTGTTGGGTTTGAAGGTTGAACATATTAAGAACTTTGTAACCTTGGATTTGGCTTTAGACTGTTCTCACGACGTGAAACATAAGGTCTCACGACGTGGGTATGAAAAACTCGTCCTTGCTGAGTTGTCTGAGTCAGGAGCGACTAGAATCGGATCCGGTGACTCTCACGACGTGACCAAGGTTTGGTCACGACGTGAGATTTGATGTTGGGATTATTGATCAATCTAGATGGTTGACTCGTTGTCCGAGATTGATTCTGGTCATTTTTGGGCTTTAGGGCATGTTTGGTAAGGTCTAGACTTGAAAGGGTTAAAATGGTCTTTTACCCTAAGGGAGAGAAGGTTGATTATTTAGGCCCTTGATAATGATTAGATGCCTTAATTGCTAATTAAGGTAACTTGTATGTATTTAGTGTGAGGAGCCTTCATATCAGCAGCTCGTGTATTATCTATTTATCAGCGGATTGAGGTGAGTCTTCTCACAGTACTTGTGGGTCGAAGGCACCAATGTTGCCCCCATTGGATTATGTTATAGTACGTTAGCTGTCTTTGGGACTCTTGCATGTATTATATGTGTTTGTATGTATACCGGGTGGGGCCCATTGTATTTATGGTATGTGGTATTTTGGGGAAACTCACTAAGCCTTGAGCTTACAGTTTTTAGTTTATGTTTCAAGTACTTCCGGTTCGAAGGGGAAGAGCTCGGGATGATCGCATTTTTAAATTCATTCTGATCATACGATAATCAAATCAAAACAGTCGAGAGTATATTGTAATAAAATAATATCATAGTACAAAATCCCAAAATCACGTGACGCAGAAAAACATAGGTGGATGCAGTGCGATCAGGCCGGGCCCTTCCCTTTCGAATTGGAAATACCTGAAACATAAACTGAAAACTGTAAGCACAAAGCTTAGTTAGTTCCCCTAAAATAACCCATACCATACATACATAACAGTCAAATATATATGGGTATTTTCCAACCCCTTCGGTCTCTTTCAACCGGTAATAGGTATATTTCAACCCCTTCTGTCTTTTTCAACTAGTACTGGGTATATTTCAACCCTTTCGGTCTATTTCAACCGGTACTGGGCATATTTCAACCCCTTCGGTCACTTTCAACCGGTATCGAGTCTATTTCACCCCTACCACTACCACATATAATCATAACAAAAGAGTCACAGAGACATCAAGCAAATATAAGCATAACAGGTAACTGTCACGAAGATAATCCTCATACTACAAACATAATATAGTGGGCCGGCATTGGTGCCTTCAAACCACGGATACAATCACAGAAACTCACCTCAGACTGAAGGTATCAAATCACACTCGAGCCGCTGACTCGCAAAATCCTCTCATTGTAAATCACAAGTAAACTAAACCCTAATTAGAAATTAGGTCTGTTGGGTATAAAGTGTTGCGTCAATGGGTTATTTAGTTTGTTTATTTTGTAAACGGGTTGGGTCTGTCCACCCATCTTTCATTTATTAGGGTTAGAGTATTTAAGGTGCATGCATGCACCATGTTTCATAACTTTGACAATTATTCTTGTAACCCTAATTACGCCTCTATAGTAGCAATTCTTAATCGAGTTCTTCTGAGGCTGTGGCCTTTAATCATTCAACATACTTTGAATCATTGTCGAGTTCTTATTCTTTACATTTTTTTGAATCTAATCGATCTTTCAAGGATTTATATCCTAAAAATTGGTATCAGAGCAGGAGACTGTGAAATAAATACGCATCTCTTCTGTTTAAGAGTTTTTAGGGTTTCCGTTAATATTGGATCTACCTTAACAATCATCACTGTGTTCTTGACGTTGTTTAGCGATCTCAATATTACCCTAAAACCGCTTCAGTTTTACACGTCTGATTCTTAACAAGTTTTAAAGATCTTATCATTATGCAGCACGACGATTCTCACTTCAACTCTATCAATCTTTCAAGCAGCATTGGATCGACCACTAGGATCCCAATTCTCTTCCCTAATGAATATGAAGTTTGGGCGCTTCACTTCGAAGATTACGTTCTAGGCCTAGAAGACAATGGATATTTGATATGGGAGGCTATAACTCTTGGACCATTTGTTCATACTGAAAGCAAAAGAGTTATCAAAACTCAAAACGACTACAACAAACTCCTTCTTGATATTAAGGACGTTCCTCAAGATGAAAAGGAAAAACTGATAAGCAATGTTAAGGCATTGAGAATCATTTGATTTGCCTTGCAAGCTGACACTTTTCGTCTGGTTAGTTCATGTGACACAACCAATGCCATCTGGGATCGGCTTAAGGAACTCTACTAAACAGATGCGGATCTTGAACACTCAACACAAATGCTCATGCTTTCAGAGCTTGGTGCTTTTTCATAGAAGCCTGAAGAGAGTTTGAGTCAAACTTTCAATCGTTACAATCATCTTTTAAGCAGAATGAAAAAACATGGCATTAGACGTGAATTAATCGAACAAAAAGTCACGTTTATGAATGGACTTCGATCAGAGTGTAAGGCTGTGGTGTCTACAGTAAAGGCACATGAGCAGTTTAAGAATTATACACTGGCC